CAGCTGTCCCATATAGGGATCAAACCTGCAACCTTGGTGCACCATATGCCAACCAACTCAGCTAATGAAAATACTATCTACATTTTTATAACAATCCCAGATAGAGATGTGAAGTGGTGTGTGACCATAATGCAAGAGAAGACGTTCTGAACATGCAATGCTCAAGCAAACAATTCACTGTTGCAAAGGGAAATATGCAGTTCTGGTGTTCCACTTATACTTCAGCTTGTACAAGCGGGGATTACCTTTCTCCTTCCCATAGCCTCCTGTGCATGACCAAAATCTGCTCCAGCGAGTTGGGTACCTTCTGGAGCAGATGAGGGGGAGTGCAGGGGTCTCAAAAGGAATGGGAAGCCCTATCATATTCACTAATGTTCTAGCACAATAAGAATATATCAGACTTTGGGGGCAATGTCTCTTCATAAACCGATTTCCATCAACCAGAGAACAGAATATATACATATACATACATACATATATCCATACATACACACACACACACACACACACTCAATTTATATATGGTTTTAATCCTATTAATGTTTAATTTTTTAAAAAGTTTGTTTTTTCCCAATTTTTTAAACTGTTCTTATTTTATCTGTAAGCCACCTTGAGTCTCTGATAGGAAATTAATTAATTAATTAACGTGACTCAAGGCTGAGAAAGGCTTCTCTAGAGGAAACGAAGTAACTCTGGAAACTAGTCCTATAATACTAAAGCTAATTCACGGAGTGCTTATTGTTATGTACTGCTATCCATGCAATAAGGAGAGGTTATCAGAAATATGGAATATTAAGTGGTTTATAAAGGTTTTTAAATAAAATAAAATAAAATTAAATTAAATCCATAGGCTTGGGGGACATCAAGGTTTGAAAAAAATACAGGTACCTGAGGGTGTGTGAGCTTAGGTGGGAGAGGTAACTCAATGAAGACTGAGCATACACACAGTGTTCGAAATTTTGCACCTGGCTTTTGATCACTCGAGACCAAATGAAGATGCCTGGATGCCAAAATGGCACGTGACATCTCAACTGTCTGGAGTTACATGCCTAGGGACAATTGGGTCTGCACTGTTTGCACACATGAATACCCCGTCCTGTAGAATTCTATCAAGTTATATTTAATCTGCACAATCAGAATGGATTTCTGGAACCAAAATGATTTTTTTGTGCAGCCTGAGCAACAGCAGGCACCATTAGGAAAAAGAGGTCAGAATGGGCCAAAATGTGTCTCTGGATCAAGTGACTATTCTTCTCAAAGCTCTTAACTCAAGGTTGTCATCTGAACTAGCCAGATGTTTAACTGAGAATCAAATCAAAGTCAGTCCATCATTTGAAATACTGTATAAGACTTCAGAGCCACCTCCTTGCCCCAAAATGGCAACTAGACATTTGGTGACTGTAACATTGGTTTAAGGAGCCATTTGGCTCCTAGCTTATACATCTGAGTTTCTAACAGTGTGGCCACAGATTGCTGTGTATCTTTGGCAGCACAGGGAGATTAAATAAAGAAGAATGGTTAAATGAGCATTCAGTCCACATGGCATCCTTTCAGGGCAGGCACCACTCAATTTTACATCTGTGTAAAACAGATGTTACCAGTGCCTAATATGTTCATGCAGTCAGTTCCAAACTATTGCTTGAGGGGAGCGAACTTGAAGTCCACTTTACTACCTCAATAAAGCATCTGCAAAAGGTCAAAGTGCTGCCAAAGTTGCCATAGACAGTACTCTGTACTAAAAGCCACCTACCAGAATCCATCAAACTCTGCTGCTGCCCAACTGCAACTGAATACAATTAGCAAACAAAGCCTGCCAGCAAAACTGTGCTCACTTGAAGGAATTTTACAACTTCCAGCACCGCTCCAGAAGAATGGATGTTAATACGCTTCAGCTGTCGCTTTACTCCAATAGATACAAGCACCAGATATTATTACAACGAAAGGACAAAGATTACAAGAAAGACCTGAAGGCAGCTTCAAAGGGGTGTGGTTGTTAAAACCCTACATGGCCCAAGTCAAAAGAGAATTAATTTTGGCACACTCGGCTTCCTGTCTTCAAAGAAAACCTGACAAGGCTACCTTTTCTTACAGTAATAAACAGTTATTGGGACTAATTTGCATTCAAGGTCAGAGGGGGGAGATGTACTACAAAACAGGATACCACTAGTCCAGAACGTTTGCACATTGTCTCACATTTGTAACTTAAGCAATAAATAAATAATAAAATAATAATAATAATAATAATAATAATAATACAGACTGAGCACAGCTGAAGCCACTAGTTCAAGTCTAAAGCTGTCACCAGGCAGGTGAAAAGTGCAGATTTACACCAAAATTAGGAAATGGAGAAAATAAATGCATGGATCCTTTTAACACCAAACCTGGAGATGTCTTAGTATTCAGTCATAACGTTCCTCGGAAATATCTCTCTCTCTCTCTCTGCCTAACCCACTTCTCATTGATGCTGGGTGGCCTTGTATACTGCTCAGGGATATTTAGAGGAAAGAAGAAAAAGAAGTTATTTTTGCTAACCGCTTGGTTGATTCTTCATTTCTGTCCTAGCTCTTAAAACTATCCTCTGGGAAATTATCCTGTGAATGTTCTGTTGCAGGGATGGGAGCCCTTCTGACCCTCTGGGCCAGATCTTTATCTCTCACTGCCACCCCATGTGCCAAATTTTGGCAGAAGGGCAGGTGCACTCTCTCCCTCCTCGGCAATTAATGCAAATAGGTTTCAGGTAAATTGTGTGTAACAAAGCAGCACTTCAATTAAGAAATAGTATACCTTGCAATATATGGAGGAATTGCAACATTTCCTCTACCTGATTTCAATGCGTTCCTAGTTGTTCAATGGAAACAGCATTAACTTTTGCAGGGTGATCATATTGCAGAGAGTAATTAGACATTTCAAAACAACGGGGAGGAACCTCACATAGACAACTACTTCGTTTACGCACCAGAATTTTAAATGCTTTTGTTTGTTCTATTTTATTTTGAATTGTATTGTATTGATGCTTTTAAAAAAAAATTGCCCCCAAGAGCAAAGTTGCAATAAAAAATTAAGAAATAATAATATGAGAACACCAAGAAAAAGATGGCACGCCTATCAATAAGAGTGGGACTTTGCAGGAGACACAGAACTCATGTAGGAGGTTCTCCACCCACCTTCCACTTGCTACAATGCTGTGGGTTAGGTAAGATCCAAGGTCACCCAGAGGGATCATAGATAAAACAGAGACTTGAACATGGATCTCACTGTACCACACTGGATCTCCAGTAACAAGGAGAATATGTTGCAGACTGTAGATTTTAAGCTTCTGAGTGTTAAACAGGCCACCCACTTTTTAATTTACATACTATAAGAAAGGCACATTAGCATAGTGGAAACTTCCAAGAACCCACCCACCTCCGGCTGTATAAATGATAATCTAACACAAGGTTTCCCAAACTATGGACCACCAGCAATCTGCAAGCTTCATTCAGTTGGTCAGTGGCATGTCTATATTAAATATTCATATTGATTTCAACTGTATTTTTATTGCTTCTTTTATTTGTTACATTGCAATTTGTTGCATTGCAACTGGAATTCTATGGAATGCAAATTGTAGTTCTATAAAATACAATGCAAGAAATAAAAAAGCAATTAAAAATCATGTAGCATCTAACACAGAGTATAACAGTTGCTACAACCTGGGACGGGAGGACCATTAGGTAGTCTGCCAAGACAATCAGCTACATTCGAGTGGTGTGTGGGAAGCAAAGGTTTAGAAACCACTGGTCAAACTCAAGAGACAGTGGTGGGTAGGACGACACCGCACGTGAATTATGAGTTTCCTGCAAAATGCCACTCTGCAAAATATTTGTTTTATTGTGCATATAAAGTCAAAAGCCCCTACTTTGAAAAATTATTTGACATGCAGAATTGAATCTGGTACTGGAGTTATAAACCAGGGATTCTCAAACAATGGCACACTGAAGACTACTTGTTGTGGTATAGTTGATCTTTTTAAACCATTTCACTTAACTTTTATTGCAACCACATGGGAGGAGAGGACACTTCACAGGCTTCATATTTTAAAATTAGCTTTGGGGCAGAGAGGGGAATTTTCTTTAAGACTTGGATATGGGGCTGGGGAGGATTAAACTTCTTCTCTGCACGGTGAGGTCCTGACCCTGATCCAAAGTAGAAAGAAAACAGGACACATAGAATGCATTTTAACATTTTGCTTAGTGGAAGGGGGATCGTTTCACACTGAACATCCAGAGGACGAGGGGAAGCTGCCCGAGTTAAAATTTTATGGTTGTGGTGGGCTTTGTGGACTCCTGTGCAGTAATAGACGCATGCTTGCAACCACATGCTAATATGAGGTGGTTCTTGCTGGCCCTAAGACTGGACAGCACACGGATGATTTGTACTCAAGCTATAGTGGAAGGTCACAATTCAGTTCTGTATCTACTTCCAAACCTGTTTTATTTTTCAGGGGGCAGAATTTGCTGGTGATATTCAAAAGGAGCCTTTTAGCCAATGCACAATTCAGACAGTGGGTTGAAGAGAGTAAAAAGACAAGACACATCCACAAGCTCAAGCATCCATTTACTGCATGTAATGTTCATACAACGTATTTCTAAAGAAAACCGGTCCCTTTCGACCCTAACTAAATGGGAAAGATGCACACTGCACCCAAACAATGCTGCAGAATCTGTGTTTTAAAACCTGAAGTCGTGGCTCGACATGTCTCAAAGCACTAAAAATAATTACAACACAATCAAAGAGCAACAATTGACAAGGAGGCAGATTTAGCATATGTACAGGACAGCTACTCAAGGTGTGGAACTTGTTCAAGCATGTGGCAGAACAGATCCTTTTAAGAGATAAGCAGGCTAAGTGCTATAGAGTTTCACAAAGCAAAATCAAAGATTCAAAGAATCATAGAACTGGATAGTTGGAAGGTACCTCAAGGGTTATCTAGTCCAATCCCCTGCAATGCAGGAATATGCAGGTGGCCCACATGGGGATCGAACCCACAACCTTGGTGTTATTAGCACCATGCTCTACCCAACTGAACTAACACCTCTGAGAGCAGTTACATGTTGTGGGAGGCATTCTTGCCCACAGGGCTATCTACAACAGCAGGCAGGGCCAGGGGTACCATGACACCATCTAATTTCCAGTGATTTGTGTTGGGTACAGCAAAAGTAGGGGACACCCATTTGACCACTAAGTGTTGATTTTAATACCACTCAAGGTAGTGAATTGTCAAAAGCAGTGGTAACCTGAATAGCCGTGTGGTGGCCAATTTACTTTTAACGTAGCCAATAAATTGTAATTAGTGCCTCTCTCGGCACATGTTATAGTACAAACCCTTTATAACAGATGGAAAATGAGGAGTTAGCAAAAATGTTTCCAGAGATGGAAGACAAGTGAAGGTTGCATGTCTTCTGGGACAATGGTTAACAATGAGCTGTAGAAACAAGATACTGGACACACACACACTCTCTCCAACACACAATAAAATATGCTAGATTATTATTACAAATTCAAAAGGCACAGATGTGAAAAATTCCCACTAACAAATCCAAAAGTGGATGTCTGATCTATTCCTAGTTGCTGCTTCAGAAGATATCAAAACCAGACAAACTTAAAGTTTTACATTTGTGATCCTTACACACTTGTAGCAAGTACACACTTTGCATTCAAGTGTTCATAGCTGTGTTTTCAACTGACAATTTAAAACAGGCCCTCAGAAGGGATGTGGCCATATTTTGTACCACCAAGCAATCCCAAGCAGTTTCAAGGCTCAGAGTGCCATAGGATAGTCATGCCTCTAATTATGAAGACATGGGTTTATATAAGGGAAGGAAGGAGGGGTGGAGAATTTATGCTTTCTACCTTGGGTGTAAAAGTGGCGTTACCCCCACAGCACTCCTGAGCTCGTTTTATACAATCAGCTCCCCGCCCCCATTGACACTGCGTGTGTTTTTAAGAATGTGTGGCAGGGGTGGGAAACCTCCATCAAGCAAGACCATGTCTCCCAAGCCATGCCCACCTGCCCATCAGCTAACATGACTAAGTAACGTTGGTTGATGAGTGGCTAGCTAGTTGAACCCTTCTGGGTGCTGCTTCACCTACCCCACAGGTCAACACTGACAAGTGAATGAGACTGCCCACCTATTGGTCATCATGACATCAGGTGACCGACAGGTGGATCACAACATTCGTTGTCCAAGTTGGTCCATGCAGATGGGGTGAATGGTTCACCTCCCTTGATATCAGTATGGGGATAACCAGACGCACATTTGAAGTATTTTACATTCATTTTTTTATACAGAGAGTCTTGCAAAATCCCTCCCTTACAGGAGTTCGCTGTCAACCTTTGCTGTCGCAGATGCCTCTTTCAACACTACTTCCCCTAGCTCTAGGGCCAAGCAACACCTTCAGTGGGTTGGATTTAGCCAGGGGGGGTCATGTCACACCTTAATTTAGAAATTTGCTTCTTAAGCTTCAAGATGTGTGGAGATCCTTAAGTACTGGGAAGTGTTATTAATTTTATTTTACAGTTTAAACATTTCTCTGTTTCAAAGTACATTAGACAAAGCAAGGATTCTCCAGGAAGTGAAAGTCGAACCACAAGACATTATTGTTTGCTAAGCTTAGCAGATCCCTAATCAAACCTCAAAATCTCCTGAATATGCCACCACCCACAACCTTTGAAACAACTAAGGAGTTAAGTAGGAGACGTGTCATTATAGAAAGATGCATTAACATACTGCCCTTACAACACACACATGATTTTCCTCTCTGCCTACCCTAAAGCAAAGCCACAAAAATAATAGCCAAATATTCTTACAGTGGAAAGTCTATTATGCCCAATTAGACAGGATCATTGTGACAGCACTTACACAATGCATCACCTTTTCATAGCTTGCATCTCGCCCACCAGCTTTTTATATTGCAGACAGGAAAAACTTCCATTTGTTTACTTTTTTCATTACAACTAGTTAGAACTATGAGATGAAAGTGACTGCCAAACAAGAACATTCAAGTTCCAAAGAGGTTTTCCGCATTTTATTGGTACAACTGAAACTTGATCCAGGTAAGACAGCACTGCTGTTGGCTCAGAAGACTGCTTACCTGGATGGCAGTTTGCAACTTGTTTTGAATGCATTTGCACCCGTGTCTGATCTCCCATATCTTATTCACACGTGCATGTCAACCCTTGAGCCTTGACTTGGAAATCATAAAACTGTAGAGTTGCAAGGGACCATGATGATCATCCAGTCCAACCCCCTAAAATGCAGGACTATGAAGCTGTCCCATAGAGGGATAGAACCTGCAAACTTGGCGTTATCAGCACCATGTTCAAACCAACTGAGCTATCCAGGCTGACCACTGAGTGATAAAAGCACACATGTATGAACAGCCCCTCTGGACTCCTTTGGGAAGAAGGGATATATACTACAGCAACAGTCCTTGATACCAGTCAGAAAAGGGGGATCATTATAGCCCCTGCATTACAGAATACTTCTCCCAAATAATTTACACAAATATATCAATCTGTTTTCAACATTCAGTTGCTGAGAAATTTCTCCCACAACTTTTTGAGCCAACATAATCAAATATATATGAGCAAGTTAGAAAACATTAAATAAGAGCACTGAAGAGCATTCTACAAGCTCAGACAGAAGGGTGATATTTGCAGTGAGATACAATAAAAGGAGTTTTTTTACTTGAACAGGATATTGATGGTGGTGAAGATAGTGGAACAGTCAACTGTTAGCAGCAATTAGTCCAGCGAAGCAAAAAGTAAATAGGTCTTGGCATAGGCATAAGCCAAAGACTGATATATTGGCAGAAGAGTATTAAATGGGAAAATATTGCAGTCGAGAAAACAATACTAGGAGCCTGTGGTGCGCAGACAGAAACAAACATTCTGATTAGGTAGATCTCATTTTACTCTCCCAAGAGTAACTATTTAGGATATTCTCAGACTCTGTCAAAATTATAAAAATTACTACTTGTGGAAAACATGAATATAAAAATGCACAATGGTTTTTGCCCTGTTCAAGAGGCAGAGAGCAGATATCTCAGTTGGAAAAGGGGAAATTACCTACGAAGCATTTTTAATGAAGAGTCATCTTTCTCCATGTTGCAAAAAAGAGGTCCAGCGCCGAGGGCCTTCTGGCGGTTCCCTAGCTGCGAGAAGCCAAGTTACAGGGAACCAGGCAGAGGGCCTTCTTGGTAGTGGCACCCGCCCTGTGGAACACCCTCCCATCAGATGACAAAGACTACCAGACTTTTAGAAGACATCTGAAGGCAGCCCTGTTTAAGGAAGCTTTTAATGTTTAACAGACCACTGTATTTTAATATTTTGTTGGAAGCCGCCCAGAGTGGCTGGCGAAACCCAGCCAGATGGGTGGGGTATAAATAATAAACTTCTTCTTCTTCTTCTTCTTCTTCTTCTTCTTCTTCTTCTTCTTCTCCTCCTCCTCCTCCTCCTCCTCCTCCTCCTCCTTCTCCTTCTTCTCCTCCTCCTCCTCAGACTAGTCTTGAGGAATAAGTCAAGTCCAAGACTATTTAAGGGCAAAGTTTTCCACCCCTATTTTAGTAGATTACTTAATGTCTGTTTATCACATATTAGTGGTATAGCTGCTGACTCCAAACTCAAATGAACTGGGATTTCTCAATGTTATTCCAGCTAGTTCATCATGTATTTTGCACCTCCTCTTTCTATGCTGTGGTTTGCAATTATTTTGTTAAAATCAATTGAGTGTATGTAACTTGCCATGTAGAGTACACTCTGTCCAGTTTTACCTCCAGGTGGCTATTGTGTTGGAGCTTACTGACAGCAAACAAAACTGCTACAAGCCATGCATGTAAAATTCAGATACTCCATCCACAAGGTAACACAAGGCCTAAATTTATAGCTTATCTGAGACATTGTATTTCAGAGCACACCAATTTTACAAACCAAACTGAGATGTTCTGCATTGTGCAAGAATTTGACTCAGTTGAAATTTACAGGAGACATGCCAACTTGTGCAACATACCATTTCTCATACGTGTCAGCCAACACAAGCATACATACCGGCTCGAACTATCATGTATCCTGCAGGATTACACACTTCATTTTACAGTGATTTCACAATACAATAAAAACATATATAGAAAATTGGATATATAAAAACAATTTCAAATCCAATACAGATGCTGGCTGGAATAAAAGTCTCCACTGAAAGTAGAAAAGTCTTCAACAGGCACCCAAAAGATAATAGCGATGGCGCCTTTTCGATATGGAATGGGAGAGAGAGTCAAAGTATAGGTGCCGCCATGCTAAAGGTTTGATTCCTACATTGTCAGGGACTGGGCAGAGGAGGAGTGGTGGAGACCACCTCCCCATCCTGACCCTTCCAGGGAGGAGGAAGAGGAAGACAGTATAGATTTACAACACGGGTTTGAGGGAGGTAGCAGCTCAGAGGCAGATGAGGGGGAAAGCTGGGAAATCATGGGAGAGCCAGAACATCCCCCAGTTGATACGTTGTCCTTAAAAAGCATTCCAGACCCTCCATCTCCCAGAACCCAGCGAGCCTTAAAAGTAGGAGAGCAAAGAGCTCAAAGACAGAGGGCATGTAGCAGCACCCACAGAGGAGATGAAGAGAATGACAAATGAGGAAGTGGGAGAGATGGGGCGGGTGGAGATTCACTTGGGACAAGGCCATTATCCAAGAAGCTGGGTTCTATAGGCTCTCTCTGTAAAGACTGAAATAAAAAAGGACTGTAAGAAACTTTTCCTTGTCTTTATACTTTCCTGGGCAGCCAGCCTGGAGTTGCTGACAGCATCCTGACATACGTCATGCAAAATGGACCTCATGATAAGGTGGTATCTGCAGGCTGCCCTCTCCTGTAGAACAAGTAAACTGTAGGCTGTATGACGAAGCCATCTTTTAGGTATTCTTGTCTCAAGGGCTATGTATGCCAGTACCATCATCTTGAACTTAGCTTGGCAACTAATTGGCAGCCAGCGCAATTATTTCACAGTAGCAGAGTCGCATGATGGAGATACTCTGACCCAGTGAACAGCTGAGCCTCTGCATTTTGCACTAACTGCAGCTTCCGGGTACACTTCAAGGGCAGCTACACAAAATCAGCATTGCAAAGTATGACACTTGTACCTACATCCCAAATCAAATAAAAGTTGCGCTTCTCAGTGCTCCTCCGGCTCTTGCATTTGGAAAATGAATTATTAAACTACAAGACCATCTGCTCTCTGCTATCCAGGAGATGGAACGATGTCTCAGCAGTCTGATTAGTACATTTTAAAACCATGGCTCCAGGCACAGTAATGCCTAATCCACATGATACTAAAGGGAGAGATTTCCTGGTAATGAGGTAACCTGTGCCTACCAGCCCATGTTCCTTATAATGTCCAGAGGCTATGGACAGCATCTCTTGCCTCCATGGGATTAGAACGCAAAGTTTTCACAGTATGCTATAACGCAGCATCTTTTAAAATGCAATTATTGCCATGCATTTCTTGTGAAAAAGCGCATGTCAACTTGAAACATAAGGTGCTTATTTTAAAATAACTAAAAGAGGAAACTTGACCAGAATCCAGAAAGAACTTGATTAGATACATATGGGATTTTAATGTACCTATATCACAGATTGAAAACCATGGGCTCATTGTTTTATTTTTGTTCAGCTTCACAAAAAAGAAGGTGCAAGTGATAGAATTACAGACCCAGTTTCATTTGCAGGTGTTGCTTTGGCTGCCACGACTGGTACTGCCACTATCAGCTTGGAACTCAGGGCAAACATGGACATCTGTTCACCAAGCTGCTAACTAGAGCTAGCTTTCCACAAATCCATTTTTACTCCGTATTCCAAATCCTTAATTGTTCATAATGTCAACACTTCTATTTGCCCTTTCTTTTTTTTCACTCAAAGCCGGCTGGCACAGTTAGGCAGAATGCAAATACATTTTTTACTGCTTGTTTGCATGTCCAAGTCCAAAGTAAGCAAATAAAAAATAATAACAAGTGGAATTAATTGATTCGGGGATGCTAGCAAGCAATTCGTGTTGAGTAATGTACAATGAGTATGGTCTGCCTGGAAGGAATACTGACAGCAATTATATATCGTAAAATCAGGAACTTGGCGTCAAAATTAGAACTTAAATATATTGGCACCACTATGTACTGGGGAGCAAAAGCGGGCCAAGTTAGCAACATTAATAATCATACTTCAGAAAAGAAAATAAGTCCAACTCTCCATTTGACCACATATGAACAAACAAATACATGACAGAAGGCATACGGATCACACAGCCTGTGTATATGTATCCTCTCTTACCTGCTTCAGGTTAAGTCTATATCCAACATGGTGCCCTTCGGATGTTTGGGATTGCAATTCCAACTTGGGAAACTTGGAAATAGGCATTTGCCTGCCTGTCTATGACAAGAAACACCTGGGGAAAATAAGAGACTTAACACTTTCCTCTCTGTAATCTGAAGCTCTTGTACGTTTAGACTCACGCATAAAAAAACTGACTATGGGGAATTGTTCAACACTGCCCTAAGCAGTTCCATTAGAACAAGGACTTCTGGCTGTGCGACAGAATTCCCCTTCCCTCTCTTCTCCCCCATGCAACACCCTCAAGTCTCTTCCAGGGGATTGGGAGAAACCCTAGAACATATTTGAGAGGTGCAGGGGGCATATGTGGGAAGAGGAAAGGAAAGTTAAGTTCTGTTAGCACAAGTTCTGTTGGATACTGCCAATAGTAACCAGTGTCTCTTACTGAGTTCGTGGCTGAAGAGAGAGGCATCCATGGTCACATGCACCGTCCCTCTGTCTCTGACAATTTCTCGTATCCAAGTAAGATTGTCTTCCATGAACACAGTCTTAACCGTATGCCTGTAAGTGACTGTGGAGGCCAATTCTGGATCCACACGTCTGTCACCTGGGTTCTATATCAACATCACCTGTTCTGGAGCAAGATTTCCCCTAAATGCAATATGTTGCATCTATGGGGCTGAAAAAGGACAAGACTGAAAAATGTGTGTGTGTGCAGCATTAACATGGGCTGGTGAGTGCTTAAAAGGAAGAAAAACAAACTAGTACATACCTCACGATTTTGGAATTTTTGGAGCTTATTTACAGAGACTATCTAAATAGCATAAACTTTGAGGGCTAATTCAATTCTGGTTGCAGCACCTTTAAGATGATATTGCAGAGCTGCAAAACGAGCCGTAAGAGGGAATGGTGTGTCAATTCTCATGAAATATGTGAAGCAGCATTTACTCTATGATTCTTGTGCCAGAACTAATGTGTAAGATCAGTAATGCATTTTAATACTTTAACCTGCGAAAAAAAGCCCTAACCCAAAA